ACGTGTGTGACAACCGCGTTCTGGTGTCACACTGGAGGTCGCCTTTCCGCTCTCCAATGCACTAAAGACTGCACAGCTTCTCTCAGACTTCATATATAGCATTCTTGATATGGTTCCCTTCCCTTGCAGATATTTGGGTGTACTGAAGCATAATATCTCTGCCTACAGCCATAACAAGAAGTGTACCATCCCGAGTCATACATGCTAATTGGTTAAGTCTGCCTCAAGTCAGCTGAATAAAATAATTATACACCTTTCATGATGTATATGGGATCTCACAAGGTAATCTGTTGAGCATTGCAAGCACAATCAATGGGTGGTTGAGCATGGGAATTGAGGGAATAGGAAAGCTATGATGTACATCCTTACGTATAAGGGGAAAAAATGCCATTACACATCCTCTGTATCCCAAAGACCCATTATATCATCCTACAAGAGATTCTAATCACTCTCCGATGTCATTACACGGCGAGTTGGGTCAAGGCGCACTTGTGCCAGTCTTCAGCCACAATCTGCTTACTAAGCGACTCGCGCCGTTGGCAGGCGTTGCGTCTCCCCATAAAAATTTTACGAGTGGATAACACAAGCACCTTTGCAGTGTTTCCTCGCCTTCGTGAGGTAGGGAGATGCAATGCAAAGTTGCTCGTATGATGCCTCGGCGGGGAAATGTAGACCGACTGCTTACACAGGTGATCAGGATGATGCGATAATGCCAGCGCTTGCATGGAGATGGATGTGGCTCCGAGGCGAGGGTGTGGGACACTACAAGAATAGCTCGCCTTCATTGAAGAAAGTTGTCGCGCCTCGCAATGGATGGAAGCTAGGTACGAACTATCGCCACATTGAATAGCGAAGAGTGTGAGGATGTATTTTTAATAACCGGCAGCATTGTGGTGCATCGTGGCGTGAGCTGTATGTTCCGGCGCAGACGTAGATAGAGGCTCGATTTCCTGTTTGACAGCATCAGCAGATACGGACAGCACGGCTTGAGGCAATGCACTATTTGGCTCCTGTAGACGCAGTATTATCAGAGACGAACGTGATCATCATGTTCCCGACACAACCTGTATGAATCCTAAGAAATCCAGCTCTCGGATAGAGCTGACCTGGGACGCTATAAGCAGTTGCGTTGCTACCGAGGAGCTCCCATACTGAATATGTTATCTATTAGGCAAGACGCGACCCGTAAAACGACCTGTGCGGAGGAATTGCGACCGTTTACGTCCGCGGGCTTATGTCAATGAGAGCGCAGGGCGCTGGCCAGGCAGCACGAGACTATTTTGCAAGGGTCTCTGGCAGTGAGAAGGATGTTTGGCGGCTCAGTATAGGGCCTCTATGGGTCCCGGCCGGCCTGCTGCCGTGTGTGTAGGCAGAAAGGGTGATGCGCGACGTCCCGGGATGAACGATTGATGGGATCCGAAAATGCGCTGAGAAAACATCAGAACGTTCTGGTAGGATGGGTGGGAGAGGCCCTCAGCACATCGCAATGGCGGTGAGCCAGTTCCCAAGCAATATATCTCAGATACAGGCGTGAGCTGTGGCGACGATGAGAGAGTGCTGTGGCACTGGTCCGGCCAACAAGGACCAACAGGTCGCCGGGCAGGGCCGGGGAGTGCGCGTCATGAATGACATGGAGGACGCGATCAAAAGGTAAAGATGCAGATTCCGCGATCGATACACGGCGGTTCGGCATTTCACGCGTCATTTTTGTTGATCTCGGAGACCAGTCCGGTGCGACTTGCCCGATAGGAATCTCGCAGAACCTGGCCGAACAAGCACAACGTTGACCCTCCGAACGACGTCCACGAACTGTCGGAGAAAATAGCAAAACAAACACTGGGACGAGTCGGACAATGACTCATGGATGTTGTCAGCCGTGGTCCCGATCAGGATTGCTGGCCACGCTCTGCAGCCCGTATATAAACATTGGAGGCCCTCCTATGTTTCATCCCTCCATCACCTTCCATCACATATCAAGAGGCGCACGCTGCGCCGCAACCGTAAGGTGAGTCTGTGTCTCCGCTTCGGGCGGCTGAAGAGAAGGCAGCGGAACGTGGTCGAATTGTTTACGTTAGACTGATTTTCGGTTTGTCTGACTCGTTGTGTTTTGTCAGCCCACGCCCAGTGCGATCTCCGACTCTTGCCGGCCGAGTCCAGACGGCGCGCGTCGATAAAACAGGAAGTATATAAAACGCTCGCCCACCGTCTCAGACATCCGCGTCTACCCTCTCTTCGACCCCCGCCGCCATGCGTGGACACTGGTATAGCCTCTGCATCTTGGTGCCTGCTTTGAGCGTGGCTTTCACAGCCTCCTCGGCCAATGCCGCTCCACCTGTGACAGTTTCGCCTTATTCGGACGCACCCGACGCCTCGGACGTGCTTATTGTCGATAACCACTCGCTCGTCAAGAGAGACGGTCATGGTCATGGTCACGACCCCCATGCTGCCCCGAAAACCGAAATTAACGAAACGGAATTTCTTATGTACCACCCGCCGACGCCCCCCTCGTATTGGTCCACAGATTTCGATGACACGGAGTCGGACGAGCCGCATTACCCCGGGTTGATGGGGCTGCACATTTTATTCATGTCACTCGCCTTCTTCGGGGCTCTTCCAGCGGGTGAGGTCATAAGCATGTTGAAAGATAACCGTGTTGACGATGGCAACCAGGTATCGCGTTAAGATCTGTTAAGCACGCATGGCACGGCTTCACCGTAATACTGTTCTGGGTATTATGCATACTGGGTGTTGCGTCGAACGCTCTGTATAAGAAGTTAACACCGGACTTGTAAGTGATCATCCCGCGATCTGAGCCATATCCGAATGACGCAACGTCATTTGCGCGGAACGGATTTCTCTATCTGTGTTTGTGGCAATCGACGGACCCTAACCCTATCGCCTCCGCAGGTACGAAGGTCAGAAACATTCCATCCAGGGATACTTCTTCCTGTTCTTGGCTCTTTGCATTACCGGCGTCGACATTTTCCATGTCGGTGTACGGGCGGTCAACTACATTCGTTCCATCCGTTCCGGTTCGGACAAGTTCACCTTCAAGAAACTTTGGACTTCCGTCGTCCTGGGCCAGGAGCCTTCCTCTCCGGCATTGGGATCGGAATACGACGCTCTCGTCGCCGAAGCGGACGAGTATGATATGCATGACATGCAGAAGGAGGTCGACGACCACCAGTCGGATGAAGGACAAGAGATCGAGCACCATTCCCGTCACCAATACTCACCGTCAGCGAGCTCTGAGCAAACCGTCTTCGGCTTCCATACCCCAGCCGGCTCCAGGCACTCGGATGAAACACTTCATGAACTCACTGAAAAGGCTAAGGAGTCGTGGATGAGCTTCCTTGCCCGCGCAACCTTCGCAGTGTTGGAGCGCGTTCTGGTTTTCGGTGGCTTCATGCAAGTATTGAGTGGAATTGTCGTCTACACCGGTGGATGCAGGGAGAGCTTTGTGAACAACTGCCTGGCTCATCTCATCAGTGCGTATCCAACTTCGTCTCTGCAACAACTCTTCTGATCAGGTTGCTTGAATTCAGAGGGCGGTATCTTCTGGTGCTACGGTCTCGTCACCTTTGCTCGTTACCTTGGGTCGTTCTCTGAGCTTGGTTGGGCCTGGAACCGTGCGCCGCGCAACGAAGGCAAATACCCTACTGCCGAATTCGTGGAATCACTGGTCATCTTCCTCTACGGCATCTCGAACACGTGGATGGAGCGCTTCGGTGCTAAGCCGGGTGACCCGTACTCCACCAAGCAAGTCCAGCACATCGGTATCGCTGTTATGTTCTGGTACGCCGGTCTCGTTGGTATGGGCTTGGAATCACGGAGGATTAGAGGATGGCTGGCGGCTGCTTCAACTGCAGCGCTGCACAGCGGTGCTTCGACGAGCTCAGGGCGGCTCGGCGGCAAGCACGAGGCCCAGGAATCGATTACGGAGCCGCCGAGCTACACGGCTAGCTTCAATCCCTTCCCTGCCCTCGTCATTGGTGTCACTGGGCTGGCCATGAGCGCTCACTTCCAGACCTACTTGTTCCAGGTAAGCAAGCTCGTGCGCTTTCACAGAGACATTATATGCTGACCCACTGCTTGCTTACCCCACAGGTGGAGATCCATGCGCTTTGGGGATGGCTGCTTGCTGGCTTCTCTGCTCTCCGCTTTTTAACCTACTTCTTCCTGTGGTTGTCGCCTCCTCGGTCAATTCTGCCGTCTAGGCCTCCCACTGAGGCTTTGGCGAGCTTCTTCCTTGCCTGCGGAGGCCTGGTGTTTATGTTCAGCACGGAAGAGGTCACCCTCGCAGCTATGCGCCGTGGTCGGGATGGTGAGTCACAATCAAGGCCAGCTGCGTGACAGGAGATCTGACGCACATGGCCTATAGACATGATGATGTTCCTCAACGTCGCTGTCGCCATCACTTGCTTCTGCTTCTGCTGGACGCTGGCGATTGTTGCGTTCAAGGGATGGCTGAAAACCAGAGCGCACCCAACTGTGAAGTTCCACGCTTCCGCATGAAAACCTCGTCCCGATCAATTCCAGGAAGATCAAGTCCACCAGCGCATTTCTCATTCACCAGGGTCTCGTATGGCACGGTATAATCCCTTGCACGTAGAAAATACCTTTTCCTTCAACATACCATGCATTAATAGTAATTCCCCACACTCCTCAGCGAGCCTCCTCGACCACCTCATCTATTTATTTACCACTGTATCCACTTCACACCTGTTGCCACACCCATCCATCTACTTCTCTGTACTTCACTTGCATATGTATTGTCGCCAGCCTACCTTATGACGAATGATGATTTAACGCCTCGATGTGGACGTCGGACGAGTAAGCACTGGTTATTTGGAGCGTTGTCGACCGTTTCGGGTCTCGTATATGGTCGCCAGGCCCGAATTGATCAATCGACCGAGTTCATGAGGCCAACTGGCAGGCCCGCTGTCGCAAATAAGGAACTCGCGACTAACTGCTATCCTGTAACGAGGCGCTTCCAGGACGTGCACCCAGCCGGGACTTATCGCTCACGAGCGACAAGACGATGTGAGGCCTGAGATCGCGCGGTGCCAAAAGCCAGCGGCCGACATTGGACCGAGATCATGATGTTTCAATGGAAAGTCTGTCTTCCACATCTTGGATTGCGATATGGGGCTAATCTTGTGCGGCGGTCGACCTTGGCTTTCAGTGCCTTTCACAGCTATCACAGTCCTGATTGGATACTCGCTCAGTTCATCACGTTCGTGAACGTGAATGGGGATGTCACTGAGGAAGTGTGATGGGCGAACAGGTCCTATTCTCTACATAAGTTGTCGCTGACGCTGTTTTCTCAACACCCCCTCCTGTCGCCCCACTAGCATTATGGCCGGCGCAGAATATATGCTGCTGCCTGCCTCCGGTTCCGAGAAACTTCGGTACGCTCCCTCTTCTCTGTGCAGATTTTGACGCTGACTTGGCTGCACCCAGATTGAACCGGAGGTCGATACGGGGTTGGGGCTCGAAATGGCTCATAGTCTCTGTTGCCGCCGTTTTGTTCTTCGGCGGTGCGAGCTTGCTCGGACCTCAGACGCGCTCCCCTCCCCCCGCCGTATTTCTGCCTTCTCCGGACAGCTCGGGGAGGCTTCTACCAGTACAGACTATTCACGAGTCTCTATTCGACAAATTGTTTCCTATCGGCGAACCAGAGAGAGCAGACATTTACCAAGATGCGAACAACGTTGCAATGCGTACTCTCTTGAGATGCGCATCGACTAGCAACTGTCATCAGAACCAGACAAGCGTCGTACTGCTTGCCAGCCCACACTTTGCAGGATCGATTGAGGGGCGCGTGTCCGGGGAGGATATCTGGTGCGTAGGACCTCAAAGGTTCATATCAGTACAACGCGATTATAATCTTGTGTGAACACAGGGCAGCCAGTATCATCGCAGGGTTACAAGAGATGGGCTACACGTTTCTATATTCCAAGAATAACGAAGAACTTGCCGTCCAGTACCGCCAATTCCCTGACCTGGTCAAGGTCGTTATCCTCGAATGCGAGGCGGCACGCAAATGCTTTAGGTCTCCTACCTGCATAAGATCTGCAGATAACCCCCTCGGAATACCCGTCTGGAAGCTTCTCTCTTTCCATTTCTGGACGGGCCAATGCCATCCTCTCGGTGCGGCATGGACTCTCAGCCCGGAGAATTTCGCAAACTGGACGACGAACTCCGCTGATAACTTCTATCTTGGCTATAGTGTCGAACGCACCTGCACGAAGCTGCCTGTCGTTCCGTTTTCCCAGCGAGAGGACAGAGCATACGTGTTCGGGAAGCGACTGTCCTATTTCACAGACGCTAAATATGCCTGGCCCGGTGTTACTTTCCCGAAAGCTGTTGCTGGGGTTGCTGAGTCTCCGGGTGACACCATACCCGGCACTGGTATCAAGAATTTGGGGATACTGGATAAGCATACCTTCTACTCTGAGGTAGCACGCAGCAAGGTTCTGGTGGGTGTTGCCCAACCGGACCTCAGTCCCAGCCCATACGATGCATTATGCTTGGGTGTTCCATTCATTAATCCTGTCACGCGCTGGGATGAAGAATATCCAGATGATCGCAGTAAGTGGGCCGCGCAGCATGATGGACTACTTTGGCAAGAAGAGCCATACGTATATCATGTTCGGAGCGGAGACAAAGCTGGCCTAATGGCTGCGCTCGAGCGGGCATATCGTAATCCGATAGATAGGTGAGTCCGTCTCCACGTCTATGAACGTTGTGTCTGACCGGAAGATAAGATATATTCCGCCAGCGATGACTATGGAATCGTTAAAGATGAGGCTGGCGAAGCTCATCCATACGGACTGGAAATCCCGAGCCGAGGGGGTTCTAGAGCAGAGACTTGCGACAGGGCATGGCGATGTAAGGAACCCTGCTTCCTCGTGTTTGGAGCGTTCACTGAAGAGTAATAGCTTTTCACACTATGAACGCCCTCAAGTACGGGCTCTGGATAACAGAGATTGTGCGAAGAGAGTGGTTTTCACTTGAGACCGACTTGAGTCGCCATAATGACACGTACTGCACGACGACAGCTACTCAATAATTCGATTACAGTAATATACTAGTATGTCCATCATAATACTCCCCCAATCATATTTACTACTCAAGTACTTGAATGCCACGGTATTCCGACCAACATTTGAATACCCAGATCAGCTCTGAATGACGGCGGGGACACGAGGAAACACAATCAAAATCTGACCGAGTCCGTACAGCGCCAGTTGGACCTCAGTTCGCATGTGATGTCTTGGCGACCTCAAATATCCTTTGGCATTCATGGCATTTATCATTCCAAGATTGACGAGCTCAACAGTGGTATCACATGGACTTGCAAGAACATCTCCTCTTCGAATTGCAGACTACATTGACATCTTTGATTCGCCAGGACTTCCCCCTCCCGCAGATGTGTACAACGTACCTATAGGAAGACGCAAGCAAAACTCAAAACCGCGTGACTAATCGTTGCTCTACTCTAAGACTCCCTCTCAGCTGGGACCACCTTGGGTAATACCATCTGCAATGGGCCATCCTCCTATGGGGTTACCATTGCCATCATAATCGATGACTTGCGTCCTCGCCAACCGCCCATTCCACCCCGGTGTCCCCGCTTCGTTTCCCGTGTAATATGTGCTCGTGGCATGGACCATCCAATCCTGCGTGCCCTCCGGGCTCGTCGTCATTGAACAACGCACGGGCCATTGGGATTGCTCTGCCAAAACCGATCTGCCCATTTCGTCCATGAACTCGTCGCCATGGGGTCCGACCCCGTAAACTGCAGCACGCCGATCGAGTGGCAAGAAGCCCAACTAGCGCAACCCGAGAAGAGGATGCCTTGGAAGTTGTTCCTCTGGAGCCATGCCGGTCCTTCATTGATAGCGTGCCTAGCTCCTCCCAAGTCTGCGAAGGTTTCCCAATCATACTGGGCGTTACCATCTACATAGTGGTCACCGACGGTTGGATTGCCGCTGGCGTCATTGCTCAACTGCGTAATGAACAGGTGCTGGTTCAGAGTGCTCGTGTCACCTTCTGGCCAACCCGAGTAGACCATGTAGAGCTGGTTGTTCAAGGTGAACACCGTCCCACCAATTGCCCATGCACTTATCCCGCTGACTTTGGCTGCGAAGGAGTAATAGTCGCTGTCTGGGGCCGCGGGCCCCTCAGGACGTACATGTGAAGATTCTGATTGTCCGAATTATCCTTGGAGTCCTGCGCGGCGAAGAAGATGTACCAGTTGTTGTTGACGGCGTGCACCTCGGGTGCCCACAGGTCTTGTAAGTATGGTCACTGGGAGTGAAGACGGATTTAAGCGCAGGTGAATGGCAATCGGTGAGGCTGGCGCAGTGATAAATCTGGACGTCACCTCCACTGGTGAAGGTAAGGTGGTAGTTGCCGTTCCACTGGAGCATCCATGGATCGGGAGTGGATAACGATTGGATTGGTGTACGCAAAGCCGCACATTACCGCCGCAAAGGCTGGTAACAGGAGAGAGAGAGAGAATATGCATAAGGGCGACTATGCGTGGTCCTAGATCACTGTGAGGGCGCCCGTATCCTGTCAAGCTGTCCAGGGTGCGTAGAATCGCTTCTTTCTTTTTTCTTCCTTTTTTTTGACAAGCATTGGCTCCCCGGCAACTGACAATTGGTACGCTATAGCGGGTGGTTCAGAACCACTCGGTCCGGAATTGCTTTAAAAGTGCATTTACGCACCCCCAGCTTGCGCTGGGGAGTGTGGGACTCGAGGAAGCGCCAGGATGCTCCGTTGAATGGGAGGCCGTGGCGTCGTAGAATCGCTTCTCCCCCTTGCTGTTTTATGCAGACTTCTCATGATACAGTCGAAGACATACCTCGTGGGCACCATGTCTAGAAATAGATGGACGAATCGTCTGTCTCTTAGCGACCGGACATAGCAGTGAGGACGCCCTATCACGGCCAATCGGGTCTAAAGTTTTGGTCATGATCACAAACACTGTACGGTTCTTCATGCACCCTGAAGGTTAACCAGCGCATTACATCGAAAGACTGGCAAATGCACGGTACACCATATCTGTAAGAGTAGACTCACAGTCACGCGAACAACATAGCATAGTCAGCAAGCGCTCCCATCCATACCCAGAAACCCGCCCATCCACAACCAACGAAGCCTTTCCAACAACTCGGCCTATTGTCGAAGTCTGTCCGATATAGGACGCAAGCCAACTGAGTAGCAGCCAAGCCTACTCCGGTATAAAATAAGGGCCCGTGCGCATTCAGGTAGCCGGCGTAAGTTATCAACGAGAGAGAACACAGGGAAAGGCCAGTCAAGAGCGGCCGAGTATAGGGACCAAACAGGAGAGCTGTAGAGCGGATACCTACGTGGATGTCGTCCGTTTTATCCTGTGAAGGGGATTAGTTGATGTCTACGTCTTGCCAGGTCCCATCGACATCGCAACCCACGGATTGCTGCTCACCTGATGGGCGTATATGGTATCGTACACCAAGGTCCAGGCAAAACCACCCGCGTACAATGGGAGGCATACGGACCAGTCACAAGAGCCCGCCACAGCGGACCAACCAAGCAGTGTCCCCCAATTGAAGGCCAGTCCTTCAAGCATGGCAGGTAAGTGTCACCCTCCGCGCGGGCGTCCGGACCTATAACAGACATACCTAGTACCGCTTGAGGCCAGTCCGTTATCCTCTTCATGAATGGGTAGATGGTCACAACCGAAAGAGAAGAGGCTCCCAAAAGTATACTGCTAGCGTTATTTCCTTTCTCGTGGAAAAAGCGCATACATTTCGTACCTGTACCAATTTAACTGAGTCAAGACAGCGAGTCCGCCACTCAGTTGGAGCCCCAGGAAACCAAAAGCCTGAGCAGGCGTGATATCACCCCTGGCTAAAGGTCTATCTTTTGTTCTAGCTTCACGTACCCTCAGGTTGTCTGTTGCGATGTCGCAGCATGCTATACACTCACCCACGGCTTTATCCAAATTTCTATCCCACATGTCGTTTATTGTACAGCCAGCTCCCCTCATAATTATAGCGCCAAGTCCGAATAGACTGATATATTTCAGAGGCGTCGTGAAAGGGAGCTGGAGCGCGTACGAGGCCATGGTGATGGACCAGGCTGTTGACATGTACAATCGTGCATAACTTCGAGATAAATCACACATAACCAACCGGCCAAAGGAATCTAGTACACACCACACGGGTAAAACAGCAGCAAAGTTCCTATGGGCTTGTCAATACGCGTAAGATACAAATATGGTCGGATCTTTGGTGGGAGGCGGTCGACCCATGTTGGCTTGGGTGCCTGCGCCTGAACCTCCGCAGAGCCTGCGATGGCCTTCGAGCTGGTACCAGACAAAGACCGAGGCCCTAAGCAAGCGATCCTAGGAACAGCGCCCTTAGGTTCGGGAAAGCGGTGCCAGACATAGCGACTAGAAAGAACATGTGTGCGGCAGGCCAGACGCATACATCGCGTTGCGGTGAAGAGGAACATGCTCAGCTACGAAGCTACTGACATCGCTAAACCCGATGGCCTGGGACGGAAACTCAGATGACCTCCATTTCATGTGATCAAATAAATTGTATCTTTATTCCGATAATACATATGAATGGGATCCTGACGGACTCGAGCCCGAAATACCAGATAATGCAAAATATGGGATCGGATTGTCAAAAAGCAAAAACAAAATCACCACTCCTTCCCTAGCTTGAAGCACCACTCCCAATCTGTGTTGTGATAAGTATCATGCGTAGTCAAAGACATTTACGATAAGCATACCTGCGTATACTTCACCATCGTCGTCAACAACCCGGCTACGCACGTTGTATGTGCCGGAGCGAGCGATCATACCAGAGGGCGATTCCTCAGTGTCGAAGTTCTTGGTGTACGGCTCACCCTTAGGATGGGGACCGTACGAGCCCAACATCTGTTCCATCTTGTCCACTGGGACGGCGTACATTAAGAGCTGCAATTGAAGCGAACATTGCATCCTCACCTCTCACGCCAGCCCGCTTCACAACTTGTATGTAGCGCACACCCTGCAGGCTTGTCAGTAACTCGAGAAGGTAGACCCAGCGGTCCGAGAACGCACAGAGATGATGGAGTGGTTAACTTTGAAAGTTATCCGGACACTAGCGGGGTTTCAGACATGGAAACAGCAGGCAGCCTTGAAGAAATCTCACTTGTATTCCACGCCTTCCTTGATTGTGACGGGATTCTTCTTGAATTCTTGCAATTGTGCCTGGTCCTGGAGGTTGAGGTGCAGCCTCTTGCCGGGAGGCATAGACGGAGAAACCAGCTCCAAGGTGAGCACGGTTACCTGACCGAAACACAAGAGTTCATTGATTGGTCTGCGTTCATTATATGACCAGTGCGCACTTTAGGTCCAGACGCATTACCTCCGGTTGCCCCTGGGACGATACCGAGACTAGCTTTCCATCGCGCTAAGCTCTCATCCTCGGCATCCATTTTCGCATACTCGTCGGTTGATTTGGCGGGTCCCGCAGGCTTGTAGCCTGTGCAGCGAGCGCGTGATCAGTACGCGACGGTATGGAAGCTAAGGGATCGCTACACGCCTGGTGTTGAGGAGGGAGCGAGATCTTCATGATCGTCTTGCTACACAGTCGACGTCAGACGTTGCATACCAAAGCAGAGTGATAGTAACTGACGGCAGACATGCTGAAGGATATTTAGGGCGCTGAAGGAAGGAAGGGTATGCAAGTTGTAAGTGTTTGGGTCGAGGGCTGCATAGCAATGGCCGGGACCGCCACACCCTTTAATGATCGATTTCGCACGCCTGACCATGCCGATTTGGTATCGCTATTACTGCATACGGCCTCGGTGGCGCCGACTGACCGCCAGGAATTGAAACCATACTTAATACTTTGAACTCTAGCAAAAAGGGCTTGATACAAGCTGAAGGTCCATGTGCGCAGTTTACAAATCACTTAATCCTCCCTCTACAAACATGACCCGCACCACTGTCAAGGAGAACGAAGTCGTACATTAGTCTACCGGGGAGTGCATGGCGTCTAGCGAGTACGGGTCAGAACAGACAGAATGTCCCGACAAGGCTAGAACCAAGCCTCACCGCCTTTAAACCAGCATTTGCCCTTGCTTAGGTGGAAACATCTATGGTTCAATTTAGTGCTGTTTGTCAGCAAGAACCGAGGAGAACGATATTCACGATGGCCCATTGGGACACTTGTGACCCCAACAGCATCTGTCACCGTGAGGGCAGGTCAAGCCTACGTGCACAATTAGAATAAGCCATCATAGCAAATAATGTCTCCACATACCATTTTTCAGATAATTGCAAGGAGCCTTCTTTGCATTCCTCGCCAACGCTCCCAGCTGGTCTGGCGTTAAAATGTAATCATGTGAGTATTTGCACGATCCCTAGATACATCCTTGATAAGTCCCGCATCCATTCATTCCGGAAGGGATACGCACTCCTTTGCTGCAAGACATCAGGTAGTGTTCATTGCATGGGGGAGGGGATTCTGATAAGGCATCAGCAGAACGTCTGCGGTGCCAGGGTCCTGATACAAACGTTTGTGCAACGGCTGAGAATCCCAGAGCTTAGCGTCTACCAGGACACCAGAGTATACAGAATGACTGACCCTGCTAGGATCTATAAACCTCCCATCAAGCTCGGAAGGGGAGCAAACTGGAGGCGAGCGGGGACTCAGGAGTCCACCATTGGTTGTGATCGACCAGAGACCACCAAGGGGGATGGGCCCAGGCTTCTTGGAAGCAGAGGAGAGTTTATGCTCCATAAATAAGCCGTCGATCCGCAAAATTGGCAAATCCAACGACCTGATCTCGGACGCGAGATCGTCGCACCCTTGTAAGATAACAACCTTTCCCAGGAGCTGTTCGTTTTCCATCGCGGTTAATGTCGGCATATAGGCATTGTCGTGCCCGCCTTAGAGAGGTTTATCTTCCATGCAAGCTGGAGAATGGGTATTCAATTCAACTCACCTCCGAAGATTATCCTCAAGGTTTGCGGGAAACGTCCATACGTTTGCAAATAATCTGAGACACAAGTCAATCTTCGTCTCAAACGAGTGTGCTGAGAGGGGAGATACCTTTGATCTTGGTGTCCGCCGGTTCTCTACCAATCCCTACGTCTACCGTCCAAAAACGAGGAGACGCCTGGCCGAAACCCAGAAAAAACGCTTCGAATTGCTCTGTGGTACAGATACCGTGGCTGACCAGAGTGTCCAGGAGGCCTTTCCTGTTGAAGAATACAACGACCGAGAATACGACACTGGTGCCTACCGGAAGGTCGTGGTCCTGGATGTATCCAGCAATACCTCTTGTCAATTCTTGGGCCGCTTGACGACCTCCTTGGACGCCCTGCGTCAAGAGATTTGGACTGAAGATATTGCCGTCACCATCGATGATGCACAGCATAAGTGGGCTTTGTGTCTGAGCAACGGTTGAGCGCAACGAAGAGAGGGTAGCTCCTGACATGACGTACGCCAATTTCCTGTAAAGAGGCAATTTGCGAGTTGAGAGTCGCAACATGAAGCATGTGAGCTTTTCTATCTCGCTCTGCTGAATCAAGCGCAGCAGAATGAGCCTGCTTCCAAACGGATAGCTCTAATTCGGCCTCGTTAAGTCTTGCTTGGAGTTCAGTGTTTCGAGTGACCGTCGCGGTCGAAAGGTCTGCGTCGGTAGAACGCCATGTTGAATACAGGACGGGCACAGAAGACAGCTGTACATACTGAGTAGTCTTGCCAGAGTGTCATCCCTGTTACCATTCAGAGGTTAGTTGTACTGAACTAGATCATCAGTTATCCCTTCACCCACCAGAGCTGCTTTGTTGCCTCTACAGAGGACGTCGACGCCATAGCGGCTAATAAAACGATGTTAAGTGGCGAGGGAGGGTGAAGGGGGAGGGACTAAGGCCCTCGAATCCGCCTCGCAGTTTAATGTCAACGCTGGGGATTGCGCCGAGCTAGACTCCCGGGGCTTCCTAGCCAAGGAAGGGAACCGCAGGCGGAGAACAGACATCCAAGTGCTGTCGACGAGCATACAAGCAAATATAGACCACTTCTAAATCTCACGAGGACAAGGACAGATCTATAGCCTCGCGCCAGAAACCCCGTCTGGCATCAGTTCGTGCTTCCATGTAATGAAGTCCAGGCCTGTTGATGGTGTGGGAGATAGTGCAACGAGGCGCCCTGACCCGTGCGGGTGGCGCGGACAGGACTCCGAGTGTCATCCGAGACTGTATCGCATAGAAGAATGCAGCGGCAATCATATTCAACTCACATGAAGCATACTACAAATCAGAATACATAGACATTTGTTCAACAGAGAACACCCGAATCCTTCAGACATCGCGGTGCATACCCGCTGCGAACGTAAAGGAATCAGGTGGGAATTCAGCAGCATCGTAATAGAGTCGTACCTCCTGTGAACTTGCAATTGCCTTGCTTTAAGAAGTGACATCTCGGCGCCATTGGGCATTTGTGGCCGTAGAGACAATCATCCCCAAAGGTGCATATTTCATCTAATAGCTGATTCAATGAAAGCTCCAGTGCCATGTGATAAATTCAACACTCACTCCTGTTCACTGCGGGGCACGGCGATTTCTTCGCATTCTGCCGCATGGTAGCATAATGCTCGTCCTCGAGAAGGTAGTCATGAGCGTAAATACAGTTCGCGCCGTACTTGCAAGACGCGAGGTAGAACAGAGTGCAGGGAGGAGGATCGTCTGGAAAGCGAAGAGGCCTCAGCATCAAACATATCTTTATTTTGGGTAGCGAAGAGATGAGACTCACGCTTAGACAACGGCTGGGATAGTGGATGATTTAGTGAAAGGCAACTTCTACTGAATCAGGACACTCACAATATTGGAGTTAACACGTCTGCCCGCTGACAACGTCGAGGAACGCCTGGGGTTGGCCTTGGAGGCACTGGACAACCCGGAATCGCTTGAGCCACTACTCCCGACCGGATCCAAATCGGGAGTAGAAGGTCGACTTCCGAAGGTCTGAACGCTCTGCAGGGCGGACTTGTAGCTCGGCAGCGGCGGACGTCCAATCGCAGGTACTTCGGCTGTTGCGATCTCTTTGCTCGGTTCGGCCACGGTACCGGCAACGTCGTCCGTGTCTTCTGGCAGTGGAACGGACGTCGCGACGGCCAGCGACGATACGAAGACTGCCGCTGCTGCGTTGAGGCTCGGTAGACCGGGCGGCTCGGACGGGGTGTTTGCGGTGTTGTTCAAAGGCGGAGATGGCGAGCGTGCCGGGTTGGCTCCCGGTGGTGATGGCGAGCGGCCACAACGCATCTTATCTGTCATAAAGAGGTCGGGCACCTTGATCGCAGGCAAGCGTAACTCCTCAATGCCCGCGGCCATTTCTGTATATCCAGGCAGCAATATCAACTTTTCGCGAAAGCCCGCGGTCATTGCGCTAGCAAGGCTCGTAACATATCCATTATCGTGACAGCCTTCCGGTATGTAGCCGTCAAAAGATAGCCATGAGCGAAACGGTTCTAGGGGCTCACCTCCGAAAATCAGTTTCCATGTCTGGGGCATACGGATGTTGTCTTCGAGATATACTGCAGAGGAATACGTTAGGCATTCAGGACACTTGGTGAGGGCGAAACTGACCTCTGATCTTGGCGTCGGCGGCTTCTTTGGCGTTTCCGACATCGACCATGAGGAATCGTTCGCCAGCTTGGTTAAATCCTATCATGAACTCTTCAAAACTCTGAGCCTCGTCGCGGAGGCCGACCCGCTGCAAGGTCCCCAACAATCCAGACTTGTTGAAAAATACATAGACCCAGAGCTGAGCTTCGTGGAACTGGTTTAATTCCGACAAATATTTGTGAATCGATTCCGTCAGCTGTCTCGCAGCTGCACGGCCGCCTTCCCGGCCTTGAGCGAGGAGGCTAGGTGCGAAGATGGTGCCATCGCCGTCAATGAGACAAACCACGCGGTTCTCCAAGCCCTGGAGCAGAGTGAGTATTTGCCAGATCATGAATACGATAAATCGCCACTCACGCGTAGAGTCATTATCTGATTGTTGAGTTCAACCTTCTCCCTTTCAGCTTGTTTCTTGTCGGCAATGAGCCTCGACATCATCTCCTCTTTGCTCTTCTCAGCAGAATTATACAGAACTTTGAATGCATCCCGATCTCTTGTAAGTTCTTCTACGCGTTGACGATATTCGGTCTCCCTTGCGTAGAGGCTCACAAACTCATCTACAGTAGAATACGTTGAGTCGACGAGATTTACGAAGAAAGCTGTGAACGCACTTCGAATTTGAGTGAGGTGTTTATCCCTTGGTTGCGTCTGTGATCAATGAATGCACGGAGAAGGTGCAGAGTGAAAACTCACACCACAAACTGCCGAGACTCGTAAGTTGAGCATACTTCGGGGACAACACTTAGAAAGTCAGCCATGGGTGTAGAGAAACGTGTGCTTAGTTGCAGAGTGGTATCGCAAAGGTAATGAAACCCGAAGGACAAAGCAACCTATATACTCTTTCATCCATCGTGGCAGCGGCGTGGGGCACGCATACATCCGGCTGCGGTTCTGTGGCCACAAGTCTGAGATCTAATCTGTATCGGTCAAAACGCGTAGAACCATACTCCGTTGCATTCCAAAGCTGTGTAAACGTGCAAAGCGTGCGAAGGAGGTCCCTCCCCTGCGATATGGACAGGCGTGATCACTACGTCGGAAGCGAGGCTTCAGTGATCTTGCATTTCTTCACGAGCTACTGACCACGACGATCAACAGCCTTTGTACCCCGGAAGCCTGTCAGCCGGGATCTTGGGCACCGAGTGAAAGGAGAAGAGTCCCTTGGCATGCTGCGTTGAGACTGGCGTCTTGGATCCGTACCCATTTGAGGGCAGCACACGCAGGTATCATATAGACACTCGGATCTAGCGATACCCTCGAAGTGCGGTGAGGACGGCCACTGGATATCCAAGAGAAGCGAAAGCGTGGCAAAGGCGTGCAAAGCGTGGGAAGACATTACGTGGACGCGTTAATCACGCGACGAGTGGCGACGCGTCTGGTTCCGCCACAGCACGCTTGAACGTGCACGTCGACCGCGACAACGGCGATACCCCCTTAAGCGCGACCCCACTTACAGGCATCTGCGAGTGTATCAGTGGAAGATGTCTGATCTCTACACCGCGCTTCGAGTATCGCCCAGGAAGAAGCGATGTCCTCCGGAAGACGACTCGGACGATGCCATCATTACACCAAAGAAAGTTCGGACCGCGTACGTTTGCCTAGCTTACTCTTTGGCTTTGCCCTAATTATTTCTATGGTATAATGCTGCTCAAAGTCCCTTAACACCTCCGCGGACTGTCAGACGACCTAAGGATAAAACGATCCAGCTGCCCGGTCACCTTTCACGGCTGTATGAGATCCACACCGCTTTGCAGCATGCCCTTTCACATGCCTTGGCGACATGCGCAGTCTCTCCCTCCTCAGATACTGGCGTTATTCCCAACGTACTCAACCATCTATCTCTAACCACTTACTCCGGCTTCTCCAGGTCATTTAGCCTGGATGACCTACGAAGGCTATGCTGGCTCTGGGAATGGGACGGGGAGCGCTTACAGGATAAGAAATCCGCAGGGAAGTCTAGGGGTGAAGATGGTGACGACAATCCTTTCCTTGACAGCAACGCAGCTTCATCGTCATCGTCATCCAAGGACTGGACGAGAGGATCTATGGGGTTTGTGATCTCATCTTGCATGCATTTACCTAAAGGCTCGAAGAAACGCGTGCCTGCATACGGGATAGGCATCGAAGTGGAGATGGATATAGACAAGGATATGGGTGGAGGTATGGCGGCAGTCGCAAGGTGGACCGCAGCCGGAGAAACTAGGCGAGAAGAGGTCCGCACTAAGCTTCAGCGCTGGATCGAGGTACGTTCCCCATCATAGTCATGTGTGGCTTATTATTGACAGCGTGTTCACCTGCGATATCCGCAGCTTCATCCAGACACGACCCCAGTGCCTCACTTACCGCTGGCCGATCTGCCGGAGATAGCCCCGCAAAACAGGCCATCTTCCCTAACTCGCCTTCTAGCTTCTGCTTCCCCCAAGTCGCCGTCCTCCCTTACCGTTCTGCAAACTCCAGAATCACCGTCTCGATCGAAGTCGCCCAAGAAAACCCCTAGTAAACGTGCCGGCCCCAGTCTATCGGATGGTTTTGCTCTGCCGTTCCCTCCGATCACTCCCTCATCGAAGTCAAAGAACAATGTGCTGTTTCCACAGACGCCGTCCTCTAGTGGGAGAGGGCGCAGTTCAGCGTCGTCACTGCTAACTCCTCGGACGCCTTCCGTTTCGCCCGAGCGCCCTGCCTTCACAGCCTATGATTTGCTACCATCTACGCCCCGAAAGCAAACAGGTTCTGATTCCGAAACGGCTCCGCCGACTCCTAGCACATCCCGCCGACAAGCCCTCTATGAGAGAATACGACAGAAGTCATTGACGGAATCACCTGCCAAGCCATTAATGGGGAAAGGCTCCATCAAGGGAGGCAGTAAGATGACGAAGGACCAGTTGCTGAAGATGACACAAGAGGAGACGAGGAGGAGATGCTTGCTAGGCAGACTAGGCGGCGTGGCTGAAAGTGTCTGGATGTGGGGGGTTACTCATACGTCCCGACCCTATACTGACTTACGCCCCAACAGGCTATTCTCTTCTCCAGTGGGTTCAACATCGACAACGCTGACTCCTCGCAAGCGACGTGCTCTCCCGTTCGCCGAAGTATCAACGGCAGTCCTGAAATCGTCTCCCGTGCCGATATCCGCCGCGGAAGCGTCCGAGTCTGTCGAACTCCTCGTAAAACTCTGTCCTTTCTTCCTGAAACGACTTGACGTGGGTGGCCAAGAATGGCTAGAAATGCCTGCAGGCAACACTGCTAATCCTGCGGAGAGAGACCAAGAGGACACTGTTATGTCCACTCCGTCTAAGAACAGAGGACCCAGCGTTAGCTTGATTGCCAGTCCAGGGAGGGTGCGCCAGAAGCACGAAAGCGCCCGGGAGGTTACTACGAGGAGTCCGAGGACTATCAAATGGGAAGGTGGTGGGCTTCGGGAGGTCAGAGAGAGGATCCGGAGGGAACTGGAGCTTCTTGATTAATTGTGCAGTGCTTATATTCTCTCTATTGCTGCTGTTTGCTTTTTATTCTGCGTTTCCTGTTAAAAGTCATGTCATCGATTTGTCTAGCGAAATACACCTTGATTTGTCACATTCATTTGCAATTATTATACAAAAGGCAAGCCAACCTGCTCAATCAATAAACTAGACGTCGTTGGGCATGTCCGAGAATTCGGCGCAGATCTCGTCAAGGCAGAACCGCTCGACAACTCGGCGGCCCTTCGAAACGTACCCCAATCAGAGTGCAAGACATCCGCCGTGTGCATGCATGCCTCCCACGAGTAAGCCACACTCTGCATCATGTTCTCCGCCAACTGCCTCTCCAGCTCGCGTAGGCCGCACACTCTTCCTCGCTAAGTCGTCGGAGACTTGCTCGCGTAGCCCGTTTTCCGCCGCCTTCACGCTGGTCAGCTTGAGCCGCACCCTAGGCTAAAGATCAATTTGAGGAATCTCAACGGGAGGTTGAACGGAATGGCGTGCATAAGCGGGCCTATGGTAATATAGGGCTGCCAGCTAAGTCAATTGTGGTTGTATGACTTGTGGCATCGGAAAGGAGAGAGCGGGATGAGGCACCGGTGAGGAGCAGGAGCCCCCTTATGTCTCGTTCAAGCGGAAAAAGGTCGTACAGTGCGCCATATCTGCACCGCGAATGTACCAAAATATCCTCAGCAACATAGAGGTGAAGTAGATCTGTAGTATTTGGAGAATGGAAGTGGTCGAGGAGGGTGGTGATGTCTCTGCGCAACTGTGCAGGATACAGCTCAGGTGAATTTGCGGTGTGCGACCCCATCCAGGAAGGGTGATGGAGACGAAATGAATGTCGGGCTCAAACAGAGAGGGACGATATGTATGAAGCGCCCGGGACGCTAAACGCGCCAAAGAACAGAACGACGGCGTTGCTCCATATGTTGCACGTATCGTCGTATTCAATAGTGCACCCACTAGCCAGTGTAAAGAGCTTGGTTGGATGGCCTATATCGTGTGGCTGGATAACCGGTATCGTTCGCAGCTAGCTGCCAGACGACGGCGGAAGTTTCGATCTTTACTCTCAGATGCTGCTCCAAAGCCGAAAAGTACCAACTTCACCAGAAATAGTGCAGAGACGCCTGGAGGGCAGCCTTTCCAAGGCCATTAGCGACCTGTTTGGGTGCGCCATGCGGTCATGTGTGGGGCAATGGAGCCGTACTTGCCGCCTTTTGCTGTGGCACGGGATCCAGCAGCAGGAATCAGTCCTTCCGCTGAGCGACATCAATGCCTCGGACGGTTCGCTTGAGTCCTTCTGTCTCTTGGAAAACATGGGGCTTTATATCTGTTCGCGGAAGCCATACGGCCTGAAATATTGGGCCCCACCTTACGGCACCATCGCTTCACCCCAAGGCCCCGAGATCACTCAGGCTGCACGAGTTGAGCGAGACATCATTCGAGTCAGGCGAAGGATTCTATCAGGTTCTGAGTCATGCTGCAGTGGATACACCAAAGTGAGCTGGTGTACATTGGAACGTAACGTTGTGGCAAGCAGCAGCTTCGTAGTTAACATTGACCGAGTTCATCTTTTTCAGAATCATGACTCCTCAGGTCTTTCTGCGGCCAATTACAACAGACCGCTGCTGTAAGGGTCTTATTTTACTGAATTTTGGAGCCTGCAGCGCAATTCCTCCTGCGCAGTCACGATCATAAACCAGGATCTGCCAATCATTACCTGCGCCGCAGGCCAATCTTCTTCGAGTGCTAGACATACATGCACACATAGCTTAGACAGAAAGACGCCGGGGCGTTCGAGGAGAAAGAGGGGCGTCCACAGATAGTACATCGCATCTCTCGCGGGTTGGTCTCTCACTGGTATGCAATCCCGCACCGCCACTACGCTTCCTTCTCGATCAAGCCGATCGCGCGATCGACATCGGCCCAGAGCGTTTCAACAACAAGGTCCAGAGCGTGTATAGCGAGGGAGCAGTCTATATGGCCAAGACGATCATATGAGGCTTATGTCAAACTCAGTTATATATCTATTTCACCACGCCCATGGTATAACTGCCACTGGCATATGAGCTTGCTACAAGTATCTTAAAAAGGTTAAAGGGAGTCTCCGAGTCCGTCGCGTACCATACAATCCGGTCTCAAAATGCTTTGAGATAGGGGTCCGGAGCGACCACGGTTGCTTTGGTCTTGTTGAATGTCGCTATCAACTCGTCGGATATGTTGAGGTGTGCCTTGACCAGAGCCGGCGGAACCAAGGCCAACCACTACCAGAGACAAATGCACATCATGACTGTACGGTGCGCTCGAGAATACAACGGGGCATACCTGGCTCAAGCTTACATCTTGGTAGATGTCTTAGAGTATAGTCAAGGCCGGTATCTGAGTAACGGCGTTCTTGAAGGTACTCACCAGTGTGGAATATCTCCAGATAGTGCAAAGTTGTGTTTCCCGTGTTTTCCACATAATGACCTACGTGGAGTATGATGAGGACGAAACATTTAGTTAATAGAGAGAGATGTACCATAAGGTGAAGGTGCATAGGCTTCATCCATGCGTCAAGTGTCGTCGCAAAGTCCACAACCACAGAATATGCCACGCACCGATGTCACCGCCCTGAGCAATGAAATCAGTTCGTGGTGAATATGCGCCGTACACATAGAAACTTGCCTGGAAGTCAAATGTAGCTGCATTTCCCTCGGCCGCGAACATAGTCATGCGAGCATTACCTTCCCTGTATAACCAAGAATCTGGTCAATCACACCCTGTTCGACCTGCGTGAGAAGTCACTTACAGGAAGAACGCCCATTCATCTTCAGTAGGGTGCCACTGCAGATCGAAATCTCCATCAGTGGCTCTCTACGCGAAAAAAATTGCAAGAATGATATTGACATGAAGCTCCCTGAACCAGTCGTTTGTCTGTCAGTATGTCTTCACAAAGAAGTCATACCATGCACTTGCCTCATCGCTCCAGGCTCGACAGTGACCTCCGCAACAGCGATTTTCTTCGCAGCCTTGAAGGTCCTGGAATCCGCCACCTTCACGGTGCCCCCAGCTAATTGAGTAGCAGGAACTTGGGAGAACCTGTACCCGAATGATTCAGGGACTGACCCTTGTGGATCAGAAGGTGATGTCGCATTGTCGGGTGGAGGGTCTTTTTACCATCGGATTTAAGAACAACGCGCGCAAGGATAGTAACGGATAAGGATTCTTGGAAGATACGGAAAATAAAGTACGCACTGCTTGGGAAGATATAGAGCTGCTCTCCTGGGATCCCATTCCAGGCTGCTATATCTGATCCGAAGTTTTTGGCAATAACCTCTTTGGGGACGTGCGCCAGCCAGTCAGTGAGCTGGAAACAGGATTGAGTATGCATATACACAATCACAGCTCCTATAAACTTACCAAGAACGTTCCGAAATCGCTGAAATCTCCAGAGTCGAACACCTTGAGAGGCAACTATTGAGCAGCGAAGCACCGGAAAGAAAATCTGAATGACTACCAGGATAAATTCACATCCCTCGGGGTTATCGTCGGTGGCCTGTAACGAATGAGGGACTCCAGCGGGGAAATACCATAAGTCACCCTGGTTCTAGATCGTGCGCTCTTCATCAGGGAATCTTCACTCGATACCTACGAGTATGTTTACCAGAGTCTCCAGGAAATTCCTGCCGTCCTGGTCAACTGCAGTAACTTGAGTAGAGCCCTGGAATCAGGTCAAAAATCAATGGCGGATTCCTCATGGAACAGAGAGTCACCCTGTACCTTCAGAATGTACGCCCACTATTATCATCATGGATCAGTAGTGCATCCCACTGATATTCGACTCAAAATCATACTTCGTCTGCAGAATGCCAATGCAATTCACTAGGGGGTTTTAGATGACGAAAGTACTTTCAAGTAGAAAGACCCTACCGAATCGCACCGGGTTCGAGCCGCATGTCGACGCCCGCCATCTCTGGGACGGGCGTTAGTATCCAAAACATCATGCCCGAGCCCAACCTTACGCGTAGCTATAGGAAGTTCCTGAGCTATACCGTAGTCAGTTGGTAAGTAGACAGATATGTTCAGAACATGTCTAAAGCGTACTGTTCTGTTGACGGGCCCAGCCTCCCGTGTGCAACTGATTGTGACTTAAAGCGAGCGGCCACTTTGCATTTAGACTGCATGATGGCGTTAGTGTGAGTGGGCAGCAGCAACCTCTGAAGCCATACACCGTTCCTGCATCTGTAGTGGGAGGAGCCAGCAGATCCGGATTCTGCTTGTCACTATAACACACAGTGAGGGGTTGTTCGCTTAGACGCCTGGTGTGGTGCTTACATGGCGATGTTCTGAGGCCCGAGCTGATTTGCCCCAAATGGTCCGCGAATGGGCTGAGGAGGGTAATCCACAGTGTCATTCCAGAGAGGGTAATTCGGGTTGTCGCTGGCCAGGGGAACAGTAGGGCTTGAATCTGCTGCCGACGCCGACGTCGTGCCTGCAGGTGCGGCGCATACGAACGCTGACAGAGACAAGAAGATATGGGTCACTGAGAGAAGAAACATCGCGCAGCAGACAAAGCAGGAGATTTTTCCTGCTGATACAAAGGGCACCAGGTCTAGCTTTTATACGCAGTGAAACACCCTCAGTATGTCCGACTGTGTGGTGTTCACCGGAGTAGGTGGGACCGGAGGCCCAAGTAAATTTTCCATCAAGGAATTAGCCATCTTGCGAGGAGGTAAAAATATAGAGAATGCTTGACCATATGGACCTGATCCTGATGGAACTGACTATTCCGCGTCAGCTGCAATGGCTCCTTCAAGGATGGGTCGGAGAATTATGAGAGACGCCGAACCAGCAAGAGCGAATCAACGTACCCCCGATATCCGAATTGCAGCTGGCATTGATGAGATTGAAACTGCGGAGTCGTCAATACGTACTCTACTGGGCCAAGGATGAAACCTGGTCTGTAACCTGTCAGGAGAGCCCGTAGTAAAGATAGGACCATCAAGAATAGATAGTCTCCATCATCTACCGGTGAGGTGAAGAATCTCGACACGGTGCGATATACTTGTGAGGCGCTCATTAATATGTAGCGATATCATCGATAACCCTTCTCCCGAGCTCTTAATACATAGCAATGAACTGAGATAGACCAGCATTGCAATGCAAGCAATGTACTTGGCTCTCCGACTCAGCTCGATATACATTGCAATAGACGACGGGTTTTGCGGAATATAGTGAGTTGACAAGCGCCCGCCAATCACGGTGCACAGAGCTAGGACGGGGGATGTCGGAACAAGTGCGAATGTTGCTAAAAATATAACTCTAGCCCATTCTTAGGGTTTCTGAAGATCGTCGGACATGTTGGCTCTAACCCGAGGCTTGAGGGCTAACCTTGATCGAAGCTCACCACTTACCAGCATGTCGGGAGCAAGACCACATGGCTACCTCACAGCACCATAGTTCGACTATCGGGCAACAGACAAGCAAACGATAGTAAGCTGACAACTGCAAATAGAACACGAACCCAAACTTCAACGTAAACCCAAAATAAATAAATTATGCGCCATCGGTATCAAGGACACCCCGACCACAACGCGCAGGGAAGGCCCCGCAACCTCACCCACTATCCTCCGCTGAGTGCCCAAATTCTTCCCTCACTCCCTTCTCATACTCCAAGCAGTCCACGACCCTGCCTTCCTTCCGGCTGGACTCCGCAGCGAAAACAGTGAGGTGGCTCCTCACGACTTCATCGATGTTCGTGCCGACCATTTCCTGCTTACCAGCTCTTACAGCGTCCACGAATGTCCTGATCAAACCCAAATCCCCACCGCCGTGGCCGCCGCCTTCGAGACGAGGCGTGTGCAATGTGGACACTTTCGTCCGGAAATCGGTGACTGTGAAAGTAGACATGTCACCGACAATCTCCCCATGCGTGAAATGCAAGCGACTTTGCCGCTCGCAAATGAGAGACGTGAATGCAACCATGGTGAACGAAGCTGTTGACCCATTGGAGAACTCTAGGTTGACGACCTACGTAGAAATGATCAGGCAGGCTGGCTAAGATAGCTGGACAGTGGAAGCCATCCCACCTGGTTATCACATACATCATTCGTCGACTCGTATACGCAGCGGCCGTAGGGGCCTTTCTTCAAGGCCTCATGAATATTCTCAAGGTCTGGGATTCCATCTATAATGGTTGACGCTGGCCATCCCTTGTCATGGCGGGAAACGGGATCCAGGTAGACTACAGGTGCAGGCTGAGAAAGTCCACGCAAGTAAGACAGCAGGAGATGACGCACTTTTCTTCGCGCTGTAAGGACACTCTCGTTCGTAGTTACAATCGAGGCATTGCTGAGCGTCTCCCGCGGCGGCTGGCTTAGATGCTTTGCGGAAGTGCTTGAGAGAACCAAATGACGAGATTCGCGCAGGGGTTGCGGGAGCAAACCAATTGCATAATAAATCAATATCACTATCAGTCGTGTGAACATGGGTCATTACGAAACGCAATGAGAATGTACGAACTGACAACTCTTCGTCATCAACGAGAAAGAACTCTCTGTCTGCTGCGCCCAACTCCCTCGTACGTATGAATGCGCGAAGTGGTAGTACCCAATAGGTTCTACGTGCACAGCGTTGATTAGCTCTCCCAGTGCTCCCGATCGTACTATCTCTGTGATTGCTTTGCTATACGGCGAATATCTTAGCACTGGTTGAGTTATGTGAGCGAAGTTGCCGGGCGGGAGAGAGAAGCACCATAACTCACCGTGTCCCATACCAAAGATGATCCCAGCCTTCTTCACAGCAGTCTCCATCTTTACTATGTCCTTGAGGCTGGTAGCCATAGGCTTCTCACACAAAATATGATATCCCTGCTTGGCGAACGCTTCCACAACTTCAAGATGCATACTATCCTGCACAGCGACCACCACCACATCAGCAAGGCGATGCCCAACTGTTTTGAGAGTCTCCGCTGACGCCTTGTGCAGATCTCTCCAGTCCCGGAATACTAGAGTTCCGTCTATGGCATGTGTCTGCGCAAACAGGGCGCATGTATTGGGACGGGGTTCTGCCATTGCGACGACTTTGCATTTGGAGGGTTCGCACAGGGCGTATTCCGCATAAGCCTACGAGGTCAAGGGTCTAGTCATTGCCGGGAACTAGAGAAGAGTGATCGGAGCTACCGCACCTTTCCTCTCTGGCCGCATCCGATGATGGCAATGGTAACGGCTCCCCCATCGTTGAGCGCAGTGGCATCACCCATGATTTCCGGCAGACGATGATCGTGGCTCTTCAAGCTGGGCGACCTATGGCAAAGAGGCGGTTTGAATTGCAGAGGCATCGTACATAAACGAGGTTCTAGATAGGCTGGGAGGTCTGCTGAACGTGCCGATCGACCGCAAATCACGGCTCGGGGTCACTCCGGGCCAGACGGGAGTAGCTTGAAGAGAATATTGATCTAATGCTGATGGATTCTCCGACGCATAACAGTGACGATCATAGTCCTATACGAATGGAACGTACTGTAGAGGAGAGCTCACGATCGCGAATTGATGAACCATAATTGTGGACCCACGATGTTACGCGACACAACGCGCCAGGAGGAAACAGCTTATTGCTGTTCTGAGAAATGTTGGCCGCGCGGGAAAAATGCAACGAAGTGGGCGCGCGCGAGTTCTGTTTGCGCGTTCAGCGGTGTCTGTCACTTTCACTTTGTATCTCGACGAATACATATGCTATTACTACAATACCTATACCGTCGTGATCCTCTCGTCGAGCTCTAGGTGCTGGTCTCAGAATCAACCCAGTCTGACAACTTTCCACTCCGACCTTCCGGACGACCCCTTCTGTGCAACTTTACGCGTTTATCTTGTCAACGGCACCTCCTCTCAACTTCGGACTTCTGCGTACGTCGAGTCTATCCACCAGTGCAGGTGCACAAATCATTTTGGATCAGGTGGAGCTTGGTCTACTGTGTTCCCTAAGGTTGTTTCCCTCGTGAGTTCCGCCTGGAAGCACTAATGAGTGCACCCGTGGTGGAATCCTATTATACTATATCTCTGCCACTTATGATACAACTTTCAAAATGTGCTGTATGTTCAGTAGTGTCCTGTTGTCCAATTTAATATATACTGGGTCTCATAATGACTTTTTGGGGATAGAGGATAACCGAGGCTATATATTCAAGTGGCGAACAACTTCTGCTGTACCGTCCACATATACTCCTCTGACTCGACACTAATGGTCAATCAACGTGGGCAGCAGCAAGCGAAGAGGGGCAAGACAGGCTCTGGCCGAGGTAGAGGCAGAAAGCAGAACAACAAGAACACCCCCAGCAAGGAACGGCTCAATGCAACTCCTCCCTCACCAAAGTCTTACCCGAAACCACGCCCAAACTACAAGGGTGCACTCAGATTGCGTACACCTTCGCAGTTGAAAGCCCGGTGTCCCCGGCGAGCCCGGCCATAGAGTCGACGCGCAGTCCTTCGATCACAGGAACTTTCATCTACAAATACTAGCTGCTCGGGGCTATAATGAATGCCCATATGGAAACGGAAGTCGGCTCGAACATCTTCATCGCGTTCAAGCGCCTTTTTCGTTATCTGTAGGCAAACGATCCGGGTCTACCTAAGTATGATACTAGGCAGCACACTGGAGGCTTACCCTCTTCCTTGTCTGACCTAGGCGTTGCAATGCCTCCGCAACAGAGGCGCGGCTTACATGTGAACCGCGAGTTTCTGCAAGTGCCGCTTGCAAGTCGTCAAGGTAGTAGTCGCAGTTCTGTTCAAGACATCCTTGCAGAAACTATGATATACATTTTCAGTCTTGACCTGCGCGGACATGAAATCTATCATGTACGCACCC